CGTAAAAGACAGTGCAAACAGTTATCATTAAGTGTGTAACGTACACAAGCGAAATAAGATATAGTACTTATGAGGAAACGTGCGGAAGTCATCCTAAACTATCCAAGTAATCATACTATTTTTTCAGTAAGGGAGCGTAGTCAAAAACCTGTTAACTGAAGCAAAAAAAACTGCTCAGACAATGAAGAGTATCCGATTGAACTAAATTGCTTGCTCGAATTATTCTTTCATAATCACTATCCGCAAGAATTCGAACGTTGATACACGAGACAAGAGGATTCATCGAAAAAGGACTTACGCAGTGGAAATCAGATGTCCAAGCCATCGACTCGGCAAAGCCTTCCTCACATTTAGAACGTGGCTGAAATCGGTGACAGACATCTCAGGAGGCTTATAAGCCAATCATAACTACACGATGCCAACTGGTGAACTTAAGGATGGGCTTAACTATTTGGATAAGGTAGAAGTTATCTACAAGATCCCGTGCTATCGTTTGTTGTGGTCACAAGGGGAAACCGCATCTGTGTGGTAAAAAAAGTAGACCATGTATCCCAAGTCGCCATGCACACACCTATCATCAGTGTTTGCCCTTTCAATAACGTTCGAGAATCCCTGGAGGCAATGCATTTTGACGAGTTATGCATTAACAGACACATCGATCTGAGTGGTGCGTAGAATAGCCTCAAAGAAAAATGGGCACGACGCGATCCAATGGGAACGCTAGCACCTCGTTACGCCCATATACTCGATGTTAGCTGTTTGTTGGCACCTCCACTTAACCATGTGTCTGAAGACGAGCTGGGGCTCCAAAAAATTCTCGAAAATTCACGCATACAACCCTATTTCCCAACGAAAGTCATCAACTCATAGTACATATGATAAATACCCTAACTATAATAAAAGGCAGTGACATTGTCAGCTTGCAGGTCATTAGCATTTCCTCGGGATTGTACTGCTACCATTCCAGTCGAGAGTCGGGCTATCTTAAGACAAAATACATTCTTGACTCATAACCACGAAATTTTCCAGGGTCAGTTGCTCGGACAATATTAAAAGCAAATTTCCTGGACATTTCCTGCAGGACTTCAGCAGACCAGACATCCTCTGAGGGCAGGGCTTTTATGCGCCAAAAAGTACGCACACTTGCTTAACTATTCGCAATTTACAAGTAAATTGCGAGCATATGTTTTCAAAATTGCATCACTGGGCCTGTTCAATTGCATTGATATTGAAGAGATTAGAGTTGGTCAGGATTCATAAATTTCAAATAATTACACTCATCCCTTTCACAATACCCGCATGACTAGATCGGCATGTAGAGGTCACTGAACTGGGGAGGAGAGAAAATGGGCTAGGCTGCACGTATTGGTCAAAGGTCGAGTTCACGGATTAGAAATCATTGTCACTTGCACTGAGTGAACAGCATTCACCAGAAGGTGAGGGGCGACACGCAAACGCT